GTCTTTTAAGCCCTCTGCATTAAGGGATTCTTTCAGGTCTGAGTGAACTGTTATTACTCCGCCTGACACAAGCTGGGATAGTGACTGGTGTAGAATTTCAGTTTCGGTCTTCTTTATCAGGAAGTCAAATTTAGGACGAAGGTGGCAGTTTGGCCCTAAATTTAGGTTTTCCTTCTGGTCTTCTGTTAATTTATGGCTAGATAGGTTTATATATTTATTGCTGCTGTTGGGTAATAAAATGTTTCTTTGGTATAGTTTGCAATGTTTTTTTTTTGTAATTATGTGTCTGTGTGTAAGTTGGCCTTCATTAATACTTGAGGTTGAGATGTTACTGTGCTTCCTTATATTCGGGTTCGGTCAAGGTGTTTCTTACTTTACTTTTTTGTCTCGTTGGATGTTATTTTTAACTATTTTTATTTTCGTAAGACGAGTACTTTTTCGGAATGTAGTATTATTACTTTCCTTTTTGATTGTAAGGTCTTGTAATTTAAAAATTGTGTATTTGGGCAGCAATCCCTTTTTTATACAAGTTACGTTAAAGACGACTGACAAGCGGAGGGAGTTCCTATTTTACGGTATTTTCATTGCTCTTCCTTTTCCTTATATATGTATATATTGCTTGGAAATAAATTTAGAAACAAAGATAACTGAATAGGCTTTAGCGTGGATAGCACTCAGACAACATAAGCTTATTGGATTTCATGCTGTCTCTTAAAATCATTAAGCGACAAATTTTGTGGCGATCAGAGTACATAGCAAACATAAAGGATAACAGAATGTCGAAAGTTTGGTTGATCGTCACCTCTCGCCCACAGGACATGGTAGTCCTGGACTGAGTTGAAGAAGGGCTGTGAAACATGAAAAATGAGCTTAGAAAACTTTATATATTGTTGCTCATAATTTGGAAACTAATATCTTAATAACGTTCTAAAACATTATTTCCCGGCGTGGGCCATACTGCCCCCTTGAGAGCGCTGTTATTTTGAAAGGGGTCACATTTATCTAATTCGGTAGCCGAAGAACATAATTAGGAGTAGGGGCTGGTGGGCATTTAACAATTTTTTCTTTCAAATTTTCAAAACTTATTCAATTCTGCCTACAAAAGGAAATTTCTCAAAGGTATCTAAAACTGTGGGAAGCTATCAAGCTTTCACCATTGCTTTTCCATCTTCTTACATTACTGAATGTGATTTCAACGCAGTTACAAAAACAAAGACACTGAAAATTACAAAACGAGCATATCTACAATGACTTCTAAGCAGTATGGAACCCAGAGTAAGAGCCTTAGCCAGTAAGCACCAAAGTCTACCATCACATTGAAAACGTTGAGGTAAGCTATCAAATGAACCTAGAGTAAAAGCCTTAGCCTTTAAGCACCAAAGTCAACAATCACATTGAAAACATTGGGATAAGCTACCAAATGAACCTTGAGTAAAAGCGTTAGCCAGTAAGCACCAAAGTCAACCATAGCATTGAAAACGTTGAACGAAAATTAAATAAAAGTTTTGTTTTAGCATTTAAATCATGGCATTTATAATACAAATGAAAGCAATATTAAAATTATCTTCGACCTAATACCTCTGTGTTTATGAAAGATGAATTCAGTAAAATATTCAAAATTTAATTTGATATGGGTAAGGCGTTGACAAAAATTTTTGTACCCAAAGGGAGCGCTAGTTCAAAAAATATTAGGAAACACTGTTCTAAAAGCACACAATGGATTATCATAAAACGCTGTGGATTAGCATTTAATCCAACTCCAAACCTATTGAGGCGATTCATCTTAGTAATCCTTAAATCAATCAGGTTCTGCATAAATCAATAAGTAAAGAATGCCACTGTTCTTTACGCATATTCCACAAAACAAGATTTTTTGGTTATTTTTGATCGTCTACAACTACAGATGTTCAAAAATTCAAAGGTTCAAATCCTGTGATTAGACCAAACCATGATTTCAAGTTGTGTGCTGTTAGCCCGGTCTTAGTGACTTTAGGAGAATGGCAATGAATATTTTCCCGCTGGAAAATATGTCCATAAGGATAAAGTGTCTGGCTTGAGGAAAACCATTCAAGATATCCAATATTCTGACATCTTGCAGCATTTAAAAACTGTTGAAATCAAATTATTTGTGGAATCCTATTGGCTGAAAAAGCATCCGATATCAAAATCTCTACCCTAATTAAGAAGCGAAGACAACACGATACACTTCAGCAGATATTTTAAGAAACCAAATTTCTGACTAATTTAAATTTGCTTCCATAATGAAAAATCTTGAAAAAATCAGTCTTTGTTCTTGTCACACTTGAAAAGGTAAAGCCAATAATACTCGCCGTTTAGATGATCCAAATGTGTCGTTTGACACAGCTGGATTGAGAACCATGTTTAGACAATCTCCTAGCAACCGATCATATATAAAAGGCACACAACAGATTTAACCGTGTTGAATTCTTTGACGAGCTGAGTGAGAATTTCTTTCCTATCCCTGTAAGTGAAACTTATTGCCGTCACTGTCATGATGTTATCTCACATTCAAATTCTGGTCAGGTCTCTTCGACAGAGACAGAAAAATGTGAATTTTCTCTGTTCGTATAAGTTCAAAATGATTTGATGTGATTTGATAGCTTGCAATCTTTGGGATGCGTGTCAGTATGGAACTTGTTGGACGGTAAAGTATTAAATGG